ATATAATTGTAACGCAATACATGATTGTCACTAAAAGCCTTTTCTCTACATTACAATAAAATATAAAAAATAATTGATTAATTAATTTGAATAAAAATTCAAGTTAGAAGCTATTAAAGGCATAAAAAGACAGCAATGTATAATTCTTTCTTTAATAGAAATGTTTCGGCGCAACTTCCAACAGGAGTCATTTGAGCTGGGGGCTCTTGGGAAAAAAGGTTGGGAACCACTGCTGTAGTGTATATTTTTTTGAAAATCTAGTTTATTCATCATTTTCCTACACATTTATTCACAGGTGTCTCTAACCTGCAAGTTGCTCTTTAACATCCCGATAGCAATGAATACAAGAAATGCTTTGGCAATAAATACATTTAAAAAATGTCATCTGTGGAAGCCGTGGCGCTGTAAAAAGCACGACCAATCATCTGAGCCGGACCGGCTAAAATAACTGGATGGCCTACCTGCCTTTCAGCTTTCCATCTCGTGCACAAATTTATCCCGTGCCCTCATTGGTCATGTGCGCGTTCGTGTGTGTTGGAGGAGGGGCTCTGAGGAAGTCTGAAGGAAGGGGCAGATTTTTTCCGACTGTTTACTTTAAAGTTCTAGGGAACTCGAGCTGGTTTCTCCATTCTTACCTACTTTAATTAATGTGTTTATGTTGTGCATCCAACCAAATCCTTTAGAACATGAAGTTCCACAACAACTCAAACAAATGAACCAATCAAAGCAGCGATAGACCAACTGCTCCTGTAGTGTGGATATAACAGCTTCAGATCTGTAAATTAGGGGAAGTGGTGAACATTTTCGAAATACTCTTAAACCAATATTGTTGTTTTTAAAATAATGTTGAAACTTCCACAGTCCACAGAAGTATGCATATCTTCACTTCTATCTTCTTCTATCACCGGTCTCTTTTTTTCTAAATTGGGGCATGCACGTGCAGACCTTTACTCTAGTCTAGGTAATACCCTGACCATGAATAAATACCTCATACAATTACATTTAAAAACGTCCAAAGTGTCCCTTTAACATTCTGCAATTTTCCTTGTACTGATTGTATTGATTAAAACCTCTTATATTAATCAAAGTAAAAAATTACTGGAAGCTTATTTTTGCACTAATAAATGTACATTTTTTCAATAGACTCTTACAAAACAAATGCTAATCTCTCTAAATCTTCATAAGCCCTTGCTTAAAGCGCATAACTAACATTCAGAGCACTTCGAGTAGATGCTTCATGGTTACACTGACTAAAATCACTGCGTCACAGATAAAATGAAGTGCCCTTTATCGAGAGACACTAACCCCCCCCTCCCCCTTTTACTCTGAATGAGAGCATTAACTAAAAGTTGAATGCCCAACCTCCAGCAGAGAGTGACTTTATGTTGCATGAAATGTCTTTTGTCCTGCTGTATGCTTCCTTAAAATGACCATGAGTCTGCATTTTAACGGCCAGGGAAAGAAACACATAACATAATACTGATCAAGACACGCCGTCTTTATTTTGCAGAGGGAGTACAAATTCCAAACACAACCATCCAGGGAGCATTCACACAAAGTCTCAGTGTGCTTTTTGTACAAGCGCATATCTCGAAAGGGAGAAACAGCAAAAGCCTGTCACAATCAATGCAGTTAAAGGCGACTTAAGAGAACAGATTTTGGAAAAATAAATGAAATATAATACCCTTTTTTTCATCACAGAACACATTCCTGTCATTTTGCAGAAAGAAAGGCAGAGCAGTTATAACAGACAGTAACTAAGGAACATGAAAAGTGTGCTTAAATAAAATAAATATTTTTTCTTAAGCTTAATAAGCAAGATTTTCTACCTCCTGGTGGATTTCTACCATCATACATCCTCCTTTCCCCATCATATTGGTCACATATTTTCATATATTTCCATAACCAAGCAATTGACCTTTGACCTGTGTGGTACGATCGAGCGGGATGTTGCACCAGTAATTGAAAAGTCTGATCTAAGAAGAATTATCCCAATAGATTGTTAGTAAAAACAGGTTTTCACAAATACGCTTCATATGAAATTATCATTAAATGGGATGGATTAACATTTTTCGGGGAACATTTTCTGTTTAATTTTCTTTGTTGAAAGTTACAAAGATATCACTTTCAAGTTAAATTAGCATCGGGCTAACTTAGCTTAGCACAAAGACTGGAAACGAGTGGAAACAGCTAGCCTATTTTGTCAATAACAAACGGATGTGTGAGGAATCCTGACAAATATAAGAGAGGTTTTGAAAGAGAATACATAAATGTTGCAGTAGTATTCATATTTGTTGCATAAGTATACAGCACTGGTGGAAGAAATATTCAAATCCTTTACTTGAGTAAAATATCACAGTGTAGAAATACTCTGTTACAGGTAAAGGTCTTGCATTCAGAATATCAATTAAAAGTACAGAAGTATTAGCAACTGCACTGCCAAGCTCCAGCACAATTTAAATAATGTAACATGTATACATTTGGTGCATAATTGGCTACTTTATATGCAAATGAGCCTCAGTGCTCCAATGAACAAACATCAGCTCTGATACAAATACAGTTACAGTGAAAGTATTAGTGTCATCAAAGAGCTGGCAGCACATTTAGAAATTGGTGTCTGCTCAAACTCAATTTGTCATGGGATGCAGCCAGTGACAGGATGAAATGACATTTCTGTTAAAAATAGGTTCTTTCTGGAAAAATACATGAAAAAAAGGAATGAAAAAATAAAGTTATTATAAGAAAGAATGAACAAATGATTACGTCGATCTCCTTTTGCAAAAAAAGGGCTGATTGTACTCAGCTGCAAGACTTTATGTTTTATGAATCAGGGTCATATAGCAGCAGCAAATGATGCACAATTCATGCGTGTCGACTAATATTATAATATTGGATCATTATTATGAACGCATTGATATGCAAACTGTACTTTAATGTTGCTGTTGGTGAAGGGGGAGTTCATTTGAACTATTTAGCATATGTTGGTCGGTTTAATCTGTTTGAATGGATCATATTTGACTTAGTTAGCGCTCAAATACATTTAGTGGAGTAAAATCACAATAGGCCTCTGTTATGTTGTGTAGTATAAAGTACCATCATATGGAATGGTTATGTTCACTTTCCTGCACTAAAGGACAGATTAAATGACTGCAAATGAACATTTTGTGTAACCCTAACCCTTTTGTTTACCTTAGACTCAAACTTACAATCAACTGGTGCAACTTGCTGCTGATCTTCAAAATGCAACTTAACAACGAGCTCAAAAGTGTTTTTTGCACTCTAAAACACAGAACGTATCATTTTTGGGTGGTGTTAAGTTGCTCTTTAAACACTAATTCTGTCAAAAATGCTTTTCAGATACGTACAACTCTCCAGCTTCTCCTTCATCACCATAATCCTCCATATTGTCCCGGGAACATTAAAAGGTTTCTGAAACAACTTTGGTACTTTGAAATCCAGAGAACAAAACATTCCTTAATGACTACATTCAATCCAGGATCAGGCAAATTAAATATTTAAATCTGTAAGTCACCCACTTTATTCTCTGCGCGTACATGCATCGTCCTGTAAAGGGATTGACGTCAGAAGCCACCTCGAAAAACCTCCAGGGATGAATCTCTGAAACCCTCCGACTAATGGACTCATGCCACCAAGTTTAGACAGTCTGCACGGCCCCGAGCGGCTTTTAGTGGCCCATCGTGGTGTGTGTGTGTGTGTGTGTGTGTGTGTGTGTGTGTGTGTGTATATACAAGATATCTGGGTGGAGAAGACTGTCAAGAACAAGTAACTTCTTTTGTAGGATATTTTTAAATGTAATAATAATCCCCACAGTTTTATTGACCCTATTAATGCGACTTTTTGTAACAATTGACATATTTTTTCCCTTTCCAAAAAATAAATAGGTAGTTAAACACTGTGTATTTTTTATATAAGCAGTTTTAGGACTATCTTTTTTAAGAGTTTTTAGAAGGAGAAACCGGTAATATTTTACATTTTTCATCTTCAAACAAACGTCAAACAATCCCAAGAAAATCCCAAAACCGTCAATGGCTGTGTCGATTAATGATTTGTACAAAAGATGCTGCATTTTTGCGAATAAAACAGACTGTATTCAAACTAAAGTGTTTACATGACCTATGGAATGAATAGCGCTTGACATTTGAAAGTCCTTTCTGCATACAGCCACACAAATGCATCATATTACTGATATCAAATCCAATTTCTAACACTTTAGAAGTTCAATTGTTTAGTAAATCTAGACTACAGTCTGTATATTTACTGAAGAAAATAACAGGAGTAGTGGTGATATTTGGGATTTTCTCTGACGCCTTCTTGCTTCCTTTTCTCACAAAACCTTTATAAAATGGTGCTTTACCTCACGGCCATCCTCCTTTCTACATTTGTACTTTTCAACCACTGAATATGCATTGGTTGCCAGAACGCCCACTCATCACTAACACTGAGTAAAAAAGAAAAAAGAAAGAAGGGGCATCGAGACACTGACTAGACAAAAAAAAAAATTCTAAATCCTTTATACAGTGTAAAACGTTTGATAAATCCTTCAAATTAATGCTTAAAAACAATTTACAGAAATACAGTAACTAAATGTACATTATTTATATATAATACTGCTTACAAAAAAGAGCATGTGAACTTAAGGTGTGTCCGGGTTGGTTTGGTCGGAGAAAGCATCTGTTACAGCGGCGGCATCCGGCTGACGATGTTTAATGAACTTTGTTTAATTTAATTTCCCCCCGTATGAGTCAGCTCATTACCCAGGAGGCCGAGCGGCAGGCTTTGTGCCAGGAAATGCTTCAAAATGCAGATCAATGCACATAAAACTGGTCTGTGGGTCTTCACTGGGACATGGACACTGGTTGTTTTGTATAAAAAGCAGTTTGACACAGATTATCTTTCTAGGCAGCAGGGATTTCATTAAGCTTTGTTGCTATAATTATTTTACGAGTTATTGCAGGGATTTATTTGATGTTTTGTGCTCACACTGCTAGCAGCCAGCAATCAGACATTTCCGTACTGAGGGGTTTTTAATTCATAAGCAAGTTGGCAAACTGAAGAAGAAATCTGATTAGAGCCTCTTCCACTTTAAAAAAAAACTCTTCCACTTTAGCGCAAGGTCTACTTCAAGTACTAAAAGTAAAAGTACCAATCATGCAGAATGGCCCACTTTAGATGTATACGTATTACATTAATGGAATATAATTATTAAGTCATTATTTTTGTATATTAAGTCATTATTTTGTGATACCAAGTCCATTTTTTTGAAGAGTTTCTCATTATAATGACTGAATCGTTTAATATTTCATCACATTGGCAGTAAAGGGCTTCCTAAATACTTTCTCAGAAACAACAACAACATGTTCAGAGGTCAGCAGGAAGCTGTAAAGAAATGAACTAATGATTTGGTTTTGTCATCTTGTATTCAGGCTCATGTTGCCAAATAGCTTTCAGAGCCAGAGATCTGCCCGTGGCTGCTTGCAGTGTGAAATCACACCGTGACTCACGGGCTGCAGAAGAGGCGTTGTCATCCTGTGTTACAGAAGATTATTGACCAGAACAACTTCACCTTTTAGTCGTTTATCATCGGGGAACAAATACTGAATCTTAAGGGCCACACTTTCTGACAAGTAGAGCACATTTCTTGTTGTGATGACAGCCGAGGTGCTCTCCAAACACATTCGGTGCTTTAGCGTTAAATATCAAAATGAGCAAAGGCTGCTTTTTCTATACACAAACCTACCGGTACACAGGGAAGGGTGAAAATAAAGGCACAACGATTTTTGGGACTTTCTCCCCCCCCCCCACCTGTCTCGAGAAGTTTCTAGAAGGATGTGTCGACTGCGATCACCATCAACTCTCTCGTCCCGACCGCTGTGTGAGATTCAGCCTTGATGTGTCAATCCAGAGTAGATCACCGCCTCACCCTTTCTCCCTCCTTTCCCTCCCTCTCCCTGGGGGACGTCTCACAGTCACTCAGTAGAAAGCAGTGGTGGGTAGAAACAAAAAGCAGCAGCAGCAGCAGCAGCAAAAAAAAAAACCTGCCTCTTCTGTCTCTGAATTTCTAAAAAACCTGATCCATTTATAGCCTCGCACAAAGTCACAACAAACATTTCTAGACAGACGGCACGAGCAGCGAGGGGAAACTTTTCCAACATCCTCTCACACAAGATGACAGATTTTTATCTGCTAGCTTTATCTGTACCTCAGCGTGTCGTTTGACCGCTTGCCAACGACAGCTGGGGTGATAAATACGGAGAAGTAAAACCAACAGGGTCACACAGTGGGGAGTGACCGTAATGCAAACGATTTCCAACTGTTTGAACACAGATTACCTGGCTTCGATACCAGTGTATGGAAACACCTCCGCTCCACATCTACGCCTTTACATGCTGCTTCTCAAAAATACCCCAAATAAATCTCAGTTTCTTTGAAGTTCTGCTTTTCTGAAAAGACCAAATTTGATTTCAAAACAAAACTGCAGCAAGAAATTAACAAAAAATGCTCCAAAATGTGACTATTTTCTATACTTTTGATGCCTAAAATTGGCATCCAACCATCAGGATACGAGCCACAATTAGGTCACTGTATTTAACACATGCTCCATTAGCAACTTAAATTAAAAACCAGACCAGACCGGGAAGCTACTGCGAAGCAATCTATCACACTTTATCAATATCGAGTGCAGTCTGGAGGACACAACCACTAGAACAGGCATTATTCAAGAGCTTTGGCAGCAGGCTTTAACACACACAAACACACCAAGTACGACGGACGGTAACTCGCACACACACCCTCACACACACGTACAGGGAGATTTTAAAAAGAAAACCTTCAGAGAGCACTGAAGTGTGCGTTTCATAAAATGTGTTCTTCTTGGATCGGCCACGATTACCACAACGAGATGAAAGAAAAGCGCTGCTGCAATGCATTCTGGGGGTTGGAGTCAATATTTACAGCCCGTGGAATGATACGTTTTTTTAATTTTATTTACACACAGATCCTTTCGTTCCTGTAGCGAAGTCCCATCCGGTGTTTCCGCCTTTATCAATACTCCCACCCGTCCGTCTTCATGTCCAGGTAGTTGAGAATGTTTTGGGCGAACTTCACCGCCTGTTTCCGCGCCATCTTGGTGGTCTCGTCGCCCTGCGGGTCCACGGCGTCCAGCGCCAGCAGCTGTTTGGTCAGCAGCTCCTCCAGCATCATGTAGCTCTTTTCGACGCGCTTGCCATCGAAGCCCAGCGCCTGAGCCTGGAGGTCCGAGAGGCTGCCGAGCACCAGCCACACGGCCCGGTGCGCAGGGTGCTCGGTGCCCGGCTGGCGGCGCGCTAAAGCCTCGCGGAGGTCCAGGAAGGTGATGATGGCCTGGACCTCCACCACGGCGCGGCGGCGGGCCTCTCGGATGCACGGGTTCTTGGCCGTGTCCACCTGGTCCAGGTGAGTGAGGAGGCTCTGCAGCTCTGCTTTGGGCCTGAAGCTCACATCTCCCATCATGCAGTGCCGCAGGACGCCCTCTCGCAGGTGGAACACGTGAGCACGCACTGCCTCGATCTCACGGATAGAGTTGTTCTGCCCCAGGTCGTATCTGAAAGAGGCAAACACTGAATCACTGCAATGAAAACTCCTGACCTTCAATCACTCACTGTAGTTTCTGATTCAATACGGTTTGAACACCTAAGTATTTTTAGGGGGTCCTTAGGGTACATATTAAGGAATATTATAGAACATATGTCTTTTAAATAACTTAAGTGTTAAGGGTGCTTTTGAGGACATTCTGCAGCAAAAACCACAACTTATTTAAATGTATATTACCTCATTTATTTATCGTTTGGTTTTACTATGATTGAGTCCAAAAATGGAATGGAGTGGTTCTTGAATCAGTGCTGCAGTCTGTGTATCTGCATTATAACGTAGTCGGTAGGCGTTTTATTACCATCAGCGCTTGTCTGGTGTTGCGAGTCTAATTTACACCTTTCAGTGTAGAATAATTCAAATCAGTCCCTCCTCCAGTCCACCACCCAGGCTCCATGTGTGGAGACATCAGCCCATCATCACGGCACAATGTAAACTTTATGTATTTAAAGTTAGAAAATGTACAAGTTGTACTTTCTGCTGAGAAAGTTGTTGATAACAGAAGCACCAAAATGGTTCTCAAATGTTATTTTTAGTCTTGTATGACATTAATTTAAATATATTAGGGTTTTGGACAGTTTTTACAACCAAAACAAGGTACTTGAAGTAGAACTGCAAAATATTTTGATAATTGAATACAATTTTTTTATACAAAACTGACAAGAGACAGCATCTCAAATATATAGTTGTCCTGTGTTTCTCTGTTTTACATCAAATCAAACTTGTATTTGAAGACTTCATCTTGGACTAGCGGTCAAATAGTCAAAAATAGTTTGCCCAGTACTTTTTCCATCAGGTCAAGTAAGGATGTGAAGGAGAATTCATAAGTACTTAAGAGAAAACAAACACGCAGCTAAGCAGATTGCACTTACACTATGCTAATGCAGCTAAGAAAGAAAGCATTGAAGCTCCTTTCCTTAGCATTACAATTATTTGAGCCAATGTTATCAGGGATACCACTGAGATACTTCCGGGTCATTTTAGTCAGTTAGGAAACTGTTGGGAAGTCTATCTGACTGCAGGCAGAACAATTGTATGTGGTTATTTTCTTATAAGTTAGTTAGTATTAGTTATTGCCCTGATCCGTCCTTTGAGTGGAGCCTACCTGCGGGTGTCCTCTCCCTCCCCCTCCAGGTCCAGATGTTTCAGCAGCCCGTTGATCTCCTCCACCACCTGCTTCCTGTAGTTTCTGATCGCTGCGTTCCCGGAAACATCCAGAGCATCCAGCTCCACCTGCATCTCCGTCAGGATGCGGGACAGGTGAGCGCAGCTGTCCCTGCCGCTCAGCCCCATCAGCAGAGCCACCAGCTGACTGCGCGCCACGCTCACCTTCACCATCACCTGGTTGATGAGGTTCACCGCCTCGTGGGTCTCCCCGGACAGCGGCAGGGAGAGGGTCTGCTGTTGGGTGCGCCCCTCCACCACATCCTGCACCGCGCACATTCGAGTCAGCGCCCGGTATCGCGCCTTTCGGAGCGGCACCCTCCCCTCCGTCTTCACCTGGGTGAGCCTCAGGATCATCTCCTGCAGGGCCTCGACCAGCTCGTCGTTTATTTCAGCCACGCCTCCCGAGCGCTGAGGCGCCACCACGCGGTCGTCCACCAGCTGCCGCGCCTCGTTGCTCAGATCTTCTATGGCGATGCGGGACGGGTGCGTGGCGTTCTCCTCCAGGTATCGCAGAAGGCCTTCCACTTCCTGTGCGGCTCTTTTCCGCGCCCCCTGCAGCTCTGGTTTGCCCTCCGTGTCGACCTTGTCCACCTCCAGCAGCAGGCGCGTCAGCTCGCGCTCGATTCGCTTGTAGTCGCGGTCGTGCTGCAGGCCGCTGAAGGTGCAGACCGCCGAACCCAGGGACTGAACCTCCTTCTGGACCTCGTACAGCCGCATCATGGCCGGGTGCTGCTGGTGGTACGACTGCTGCTGCTGCTCCATGGGGTGATGCTGCTGATGCTGCTGGGCGCCATGGTCCATCCTCTTCCCTCCATCAAAGGGCTTCCCAAACAGGCTGCAGAGGAGGGAAAGTCAGAACAATGAGAAACACTTCAGAGCAGAGCCTCAGCAGAGAATGGGCGGATTACTTCAAAACTTCCTTTTCAGATATTCACAGCCAACACTGGAACAACCAGACCTCCAACTATTGTCTGGATCCCTGCCACTGCAGCTGGCATGAAGACAGACTGTGCGACCTCAACCAAACATTCAAATACCCACCAACTCCAGAGGAAATTACAACAATGTGGTCAATTGCAAATGCTATGAGCATTTATCGTGATCTCCTTCCACATTTTACACATCATTCGAAACTGCGACATTGCAGTAAATATTTGCAATATATACATTTTGTATTCGTGCCTTGCAAATGGTAAAGGCAAGTTTAATTTATATTGCAGTTCAACAAGTCAATTTAAAGTGCTTTACAAGAGACAGTGCTAAAGAACTATTCAATGATCATTTTGTTCACTACAAGAATGTGGGAATTCTTTAAAAATAATTATACAAGCAATTTGTTGTAGTTCAGCAGTAAAGTGAAAGCAGCAGAAAGTCAGAACCGAGTACAATTTAATATACATGGTTGAATTAACGCAAGTAATATTGATATTGTGCAGCCCTATTTTAGCCCTGTTCTTACATTCTACTAAATATGTAAATAATGTTGCATTTCTGCATTGGAAACAAAGGTGAACATCTTTCTCTGCATCTCCATTGGGAACAAAAGCATATCTGCATTACACTTATAACCTTCTGATTTAAACACAATAGATGTTGTGTTGCACCAGAGACCGCCGCCCACTCTGGCACCAAAGAAAATGTATATATCATAGGACGAAAAGTAAGCCACGGATAAAGTGTTGTATCTCCACTCTGCAGGCAGTTCTGTCACCCCTAACATGTCAGAGATGCCTGGAGGCTGAGTCATTAAACATGAGAATGATCCATTTTATGTGAGAGAAATCCCGATACTTCACTATTGAGCTGTCACTTTCCAACTTGCTGCCAGTTTCGTGATAGGTTAACCAGCCTTATCTATCTGAAAATGTCCCTTCACTAAACCTGAAATGTTCAATTTGTTGCAGTTTCATATTCTGAAAAATGACATTTGCTCCTGGAACTGTAACTGATTTTTAAAGCTAGTTTGTGTATATTTTCGATACCAATATATCAGTAAAGATTAATCTTTTTACATATATATTATGACTAACCTGCATGTGATGCATTACAGTTAAAACATATACTTTAAATGCTCTCTGAATGATGGACTACAGGTAATGCCTTTTCAGAATTACCCCTAAAACTGTGCTGATATATCTGCCAAAGGCTAATATCCAAATAGATATCTGCCAAGAACAAATGTAGTCTAGCAACAACCACAGTTGCAAAATCAAAGAAGTTAGAGTAACAGCTAAAAAACCTCCAGCTATTTCACCCTGCTGCAGTGAGGTAGGAGTGTACACTGAGATAATAACTTTATTTAACCAGGAAATGTTTAAACGGATATAAAAAGCGATTTACTATTGTTTTACTATTTACTTGAAAAGCTCAATATAATTGTGTGCTTCTAAACTTTGTGATGAGATTCTACTTAAATATGCATGAACAGGGTTTATTTGCCTCGTTAGGGCCAATAAATCTTTGAAACCAAGAAGACCCCAAAATAAACAGTGCCGTAAACAGCCTTTAAAGGGTCCCCTATCATGCTATTTTTAGGCAATAGCATAGGTCTCAGATATATAAAAAACATGTCTATGAAGTGTTTTGCTCAAAATACCAAACAGATCACCCATTCTAGCCATGCCTCATATCCCTCTATTTCACTTCCTGTTTCAAACTTGCTGATTTTGGGTATAAAGCTTTAAAAAAAAAAAAAAAAGGAGGGGGCTGAGCTCATGCAGGAGATTCTACCGGCAGATACTGCCGTGATGAAACTCCATATCATGGATTATCAAGGATTATTTCTGAAACAGTATGGAGCTCAAAGGCTTTCTCTCTTGCCGGTTATACCACAAGGTGAGTTCCTTTTCATTTCCTGCTTCTTCACAAACATGCTCTCTAGTACAGGTTAGCTCTGAGTGTTAGCGATGCTAATGTAAACACCGACCATATTACGTCCAAAACAGTCGGGCATTGTTTCTGATAGCAACGTTTCTGATAAGGCCGTGGGTCCACATTTCCGATATGACGTCATATCGGACGCAAATCTCACTCAGCTCCGTTGTAGCCCCGTTTTTAGAGATTTGGGTATGGAGGAAAAGAAAGTGGGTTTTATTTTCTGACGCTGCGTGAGTTCCCTGACAGACCGGGGACACATATTTATGTATTAAAGACATCAAATAGTGCATTTTGCATGATAGGTCCCCTAACATAAACGTATCCCTCTACATGAATGAGAAGTAGTCTAAGGACTTTTCCTGACCTCTTTCATTGCCTTTCTCACTTAACTCACATGACATACCAGCTTCAGATAAACAAGAACAAATGCTCATATAATAAATTCATATGAAATTCTTACCCCTTACAAATCATGCAGGAAAACGAATGAGGTTAACCTACATTTCGTCTCGACAAGAGGAACACCCACATGACAACCATTTATATTCATTTCTATCTGGCTGGTTGGCTGACATGATGGGGAAATATCTTTAATCCACATGAACAGAATCCATCCTGTCCATCAGGCTTTAAATACTGAGGAGGAAATAAACTAAATAACACCCAAAATATGAAAAACAGATTAGTTTCCACACTCGTGCAGGAAGTGTGCGAGGACAAAGGAAATACCCAAATCCCAATTCAACAACATTTATAAAAACTAAATGTTAGTCTGATTTTTAACAGTTTTACTCGTTTAGGCTGTTGACACAAAATAATGGGTTTATTTCTACATTTTTAAACAATTCAATATTTAGTTATAAGGATGTTTATATCCAGGTAAAGACTGTTATTCCTCTGGTGTGACACCAACTTAATTTTTCTTATTAAGCTTCAGTATATACAGGTTATTCTCTGTGGTTTTGTGTCTGTTTGTATTGGTTGAGTTCATGTTGTTGTAGTCTTTTAATCATTTGTCAGCTTTTGTGCCTCATGTATTTTGTATCTCTCTGTAGTTATTTTGCATCTCTCTGTAGTTATTTTGCATCTAATCTGTGTTGTTTTTGCAACCCAGTGTAGATCTGTCTCATTTCTCTCTGTTTTTTGTCTGATTTTTCTGGTTTAAAAATTAATGTTACTCTATTTTAAATAATTGTTTACTCTATCCTCTGTATGCTGTGCAGCTTGATTTGGTGGGCAGGATAAATGGTAAATGGACTGTACTTATATAGCGCTTTCTCCAGTCTTTAAGACCCCTCAAAGCGCTTTACATACTACATGTCATTCACCCATTCACACCCATTCAAAGAGAGCAGTGGACCTTACTCTAGGACCTAACATTCACACACATTCACACACCGTTGGCCATGCCATCGGGAGCAACTCAGGGTTAAGTATCTTGCCCAAGGATACATCGACATGTTGACTGCATGGGCTGGGATCGAACCCACAACCTTCTGGTCGAAAGACGACCACACTCCCTCACAGCCACAGTCGCCCTGTAGGATAGCTTTTAAAATACTTTTAGTAGGAGCAAAAACTACAATCAAGTCATTCCTACTCTAAATTGACTTTAAAAACATCAATGTGAATAACAGTCAGCTCTCACACAGGCCCTGAACCTTGACCCCTGGATCAGTAATCCATGCATGCTAACCTTAAGTCTACTGAGATAAAGAACCAGCTCCAGCATAACAATAAATCCAGCTAAAGGCTTTAAAAACAGGCAAAGAAAAGGTAAAAGTGAAGGAAATGGTTTCCAATAATCCAGAAATGCCTATATCAAAGTGCAGTTTCCATATCTGCAGGATCACGATAACATTTAGTCGTTTTTCGCAGCAGAACATGGCTCAGGGGAGGGAAGTCATCATCAGTCTGAAAGCATGATGTGCATGTTACATATCAACACAAAGCCCACACAATATGAAGGTTTTATTATTCACAGCATCAACAACACTTAGTGGAATAGACAGCATTGTGTTTAAAGAATTCCCTAAATTACTTTTATGTAAGAGGGCGATGGGCTGGTTCACAAATCTGAGTATTTATTAGGATAATCTCAGCGAAATCCACTGCACGCCTGGCAAACACCTCGTGCCTTAATTTGATCCAAGAGAGACAAGCAAAAAAAGGGAGGCTGATGTGATACAGTAATACGTTTGCTAGTAGGAATCTTCCCACCCATGAGTCACACACACTATTAATTGAGCTGGAGGTAACATGCAATCAATCGAGACCACCACCCAACATGCTTTTTGCTATGAAACCTTCCAAAACACACCCTCCTGCATGCCTGCATGCACCGGTCCTGCACGGCTTTGCGCATTATGTCGCCATATGAAATCCCAATATTTGGCTGCGAAGGTATATGCAAAATACACACCGTGCACGAAAACACATCGAAGCATCTCCTGTCACAGGCTTTTGCACACACACACACACAGATAGATCTATTTCTCACCTTTTCAAAACGCCGAACATATTCGCGCACATTTCTACGGATGTCTGTTTCCATCAGCCACAGAAGGGCGGGGTGTGGAGCAAAGTGGCCCCCAGATTTACCCCCCGAAATACGGGAGAGAGAGTCCGTGATGCTCCGGTCAGCTTCAGCACCTAAAGACTGACTGCAGTCGGGCTGGTGTGTGTGTGTCGCCCCTCCCACAGACTACCAGAGGGTAATCCTACACCGACTATCGCTTTAAAACAACTTCAGATACAAATAGATATCTTACTGAAACATAAAGATGATTTTAAAAGCAGTTTTGAGTCAAATAAACCTTCTTGTTTTCACTGTCTGAACCCCATTGTCCTCGCTACCGTTGATCACCTGACTCAGCCCCACCTTTACCGAATAACTCCAGTTGTATTTGGTGGTGTTAACACATTAAACACCGCCTCGTCACTTTAATAGGTTCACCCTTACCTGCATAGCCAGCGTACAGCCATCTGAAACGTTGTGGAAAAGTGCGCACCTCCCCGGCATGAAAGCTAAACATTAGCCTACCTAGCTACCTTCTAGTAGTTACTTTCCGGCTCACCAACTAGCGCGGAGTTTCTCTTTGCTTCATATACGGGGAATAAAACCATTAAACGGACGTTTAATTCACTTGATAACTCAAAAATGGAAATCAGTGTTTAGGTAATGGTTAATAAATTCACATTGACGTAGAATAAATACAAAATAAGTCTTATTTTCCCGTGTTTCTATTATACATTTTTGTAGCGCAAGGTAAGTTTTGGTTGTCCAACATTAGGTGCGCTCCATTGTAGAAATGATCGTGCCGTTTGATGCGTGGCGGCAAGGGCGGGGATACTAAAGGAAGGGGCTTTTTTGAGATTTGTTGTTGTTTATTCTTTTACACCACTAGAATTCCGAGGCATATATTGTCCTTTTAAAAAAAAATCTATTACATTTATAGCTACATGAATATGCATTCCTTACTTTACTGCTACATACGATAGATTTGGTTTTATTGCCTGTTTTTAATTAATTTTAATTATAATAAAAATAATAATACAAAAGTGTGAAAATGGAGAGTGCTGCGATAGATGTCATTGTTCAAATGCTGTATTGTAAACGTAAAATCAAGCTGAACATTGAACCATGATATGACATCCAAAAATGACAGATAATCCTAATACAATCCTTATTAGAGTTAAGAGTAAAGCTTTCTGGGACTCCACTGAAGTAGAATTTCTAGTTTTACGAAATCCTTATGTGTTATTATAAAATATATAGATATATTTGTAATCTAAAATAAAATAAATATTATAGATTCTAACAAAGTATTATAAAAGTTAAGGTACCTAGATGTATAGAAAATAAATGATACCATACCACCATCACATTTGCCAGCTGCAACTCTAACGTGATGATTCAATAGGCCATTCTGCATATTCAGTACGTTTTGGTACAAGGTAAATACTTTGACAGGTGGTAACTTATATAACACAACCACTAAAGAGCCATCTGGCTGCATAGTGACTAAGTGTAGTCTAACTAAGTACATTTAGGCCTACTCATAATACTGTACTTGGAATACTATTTTTGAAAAAAGGTGTACTTGATTTGAGTAAGTGTCTCTGATGCCAAGTATAACTTCTTTACGTGTCCATAATATAATACTGTTGAAAAAGACACTACTGTACTTCTACTTAAGTTACATTTCATTTCAGGACTATTACTTTAAATGGAGGATTTTAAGATTATATTGGTAGTTTTATATTTCTTCTACCACTGCGAACCAACAAGAATGGTTTGGGAGAAACCCCGCCCGGGGCTGCGCCGGTGAATGTTTGAAGCCCCTATTTTCTGTAGTGGGAGTCATGTGACCAGACGGAGGGTTGTTCTCACAGAAGGACATCGATATGAACTCCCCTAACAAAATACTGTAGGTTTATATAAATATCCGGACACTCTGTTATGTAAGGGAAACAAATCCCTCTTAAGACAGCTGTTTAGTGTTGGTTAGTTAAAAATGGCGTCCAAAACAACAGCAGCAGCATTGAGGATTTTCAGCCCTTTTACACTCCACTCTCCTTGCAGTATATCAGCACTGAAAATACGGCAATGTAGCTCCAAACTGGCAACCAAGCAGGACACAACACCAAAGGTTCGTACAGTAAATCATCATAATTTGTTAAATAAACAATCTCTAAGGGCTGCCATGTTGAATATCTGACTTACATGAATTGTTGTATGTCCCCCACGGCTTGTTGTGCAGCATGTGTGTGTTGCCATGATACTGTTGCTGGTATGGGCCAATGTTAACATTCATTCAGAACTATGGTTTCGTAATAAAGATATCATAATGTAAAAATACTCCATTACAAGTAAGAGGTAAATACATTTAAATGATGCAGTTGTTATAAGTACAATTAGTTGTACCACAGTTTATAAGTACAACAAAATAAAAGTTGTATATATATAGGCATACTCACAGTAAAGTTGCTTAACAAAATATAAAACATTTTGTATTAAAATCTAAATACACAGAGTAACTAAGTATTTCAATACATGTAGTGAAGTAGATGTATAAAGTAGCATACAATGAAAATAATACTACAAATACCTGAAATGTGTACTACTTGAGTATATTTACTTAATAACATCCCAGAACTAGACTACTTCAGGATAGTATCAACATATTGAGCCTTTAAGAACTCCATGTTATCCTAAAACTTTAAAAATATTGCAAATTGGTATGTAAGACATTTTAATAATTGCATTTACATGTACGTTAAGATATCTTTGTTATGGGAAGTTGTTTCTACCTGTTTTCAGTCTGAGTGCATCAGGGTTTCTGCCTTGCTGCTCGTCACCCTGCAGTCTGGTTTGAAATGATAAACTTGTCTGTGTTGGTCTGCTATTTATTCAAACCATGTGACCACTTTGTATCTCTGCGTGCCAAACCTCTGTTGACTCAGTCAGTTCATTCAAATTAAATCACCTGCAGGGCAGCACCCTGATCTCACTCCTACCTGTCTTAACATGTGTAGTTCAAGAGTAATGGAAACATTTTGGTTTGCAATGATGTTGCAATAGGATTCCTTAATAAGAATCCAAAAGGGATTTTATCCACCCAGATTATTTAAATAGTTTACGATGGTGACAACAAATGTATTGTATATACTCTGAAAATAACTGGTCTAAAGCGTAGGCGAAATGGCCTTATATCACTGTAACGGTATGAACATTCAATTTATAAATACTTTGAAATAGCCATCCCATACATTATATTTGATTATTTTCTTGAGGTAGAAAAATCCTGTACCGATGGACACTTTTTGTCATACCGTCATACCGTCATACCGCCTAGTAGTGATGGCAGTTTGACACTGAAGCTTCGAACGGAGCTTCAACCCTGGACTTCCTATTCCATAGAAGCAGTGGACGTTTCTCAATCTCGAGGAAACTGGCTTCCAAGCCAATATTTCAAGGATGCTACGTCATCGATTGCCGCCGAAGGACTGTTCCAATCTCCAGCATACTTGGAATTCCACCGAGGCCGCGTCCTTGGTTTGGGGGTAATTTCGAGGCTGCACATGGGTAGACTTCGCGTCCTTAAAATCCCCACAATGCTTTGCGCACGGACCAATTTCCCCAAATCTGTGGCGGAAAATGTAAGGCGGGGCCTCTCATATGACGCACACNCTTTTAACCTCTTTTCCTTTCTCTTTCTTGATCCTCCTTAGAAATCTTCATTATATTCCTTGACAGTGGCCTGCACTGCTGTATTAACAACGTGTCACATGTTAAGAATTTACAATCAGAATCGAGTATTCAACTAAGCCGTGTAATACAAGTTGTTAGTATCCTTAAGGACCTACAGTTGTTATGCTATACCACATTGCCCTTCACTGGATGTACAATAACTACATTTTAGCATTTAAAATACCTAGCCATTCTTTTGCGGTTATTTTGGTGAAAGTAACTAAAAAGTAACTAAAGTAGTGTAACTCATTACATTTCAGAGACAGTAATATTGTAGTGTAACTTATTACTTTCAAAAGAGAGTAATAAGTAATATGTAATATATTGCATTTTGGAAGTAACTTGCCCAACACTGATCATTATACAATGTTAAACTAATGGGTCATTACTCACAGCAGAAGTAACTGGAGCAAAGTAACTGTATGAGCAATGTATTACTTTAAGTCTCAGCAGTGCCTGATTTATCACATCACATCATATACTGTATATTATCACATCATATATATTATCACATCTTATGTTCACTTCTGTGCCAGCAGCGTGAGCCGGATGTTGCTGTGCACTTACAGTGCCGCAGAATGATGCATTATAAGTGTTAATTTACTAAAAAGAAAACATAATTTTGTGTACGCAACAAGTGGTTTTAAGATTCAAAACAATATTTAAGATGATAGGTGCTGGACAGAAGAACATTCTGGTGCTGGACAGAAGAACATTCTGAGGGTCCCGGGATAGGCAAGGGGCGCGCTCGGCAGGAGAAGAGCAGCCCTCCACACTTTAGTCCACACACACTCTGCACGGGGTCGGTGTCTGAGTGTGGGGCATGGGCACTGGCGCTCTCCCTGCAATCCTTAGGGATTCAGGGAGGCAGGCATGTAGTAAGCCCATTCAGGGCCGAGGGGGCTCTCCCCATCCGTCTATGGGCGGGGGGGGGGTCCCCGGCACTGTTCTTTCAGCGCACCTTCTGCGAGGTAAGCGCGGCAGGGTGTGCTCTGTCAGCCGCAGCCCAGACTTTTCCACGGTCACAACCGGGTTAAAGGAGAATGTGGGGCAGCAGCTGCTGACCAGAAAAGCCGGTCAGGGGCAGTAGGGTGGAATGTTGTTGTTGGACGACAGTGCGCATATACATCGGGGCTCCACCCACTGTACCCATAGAGTCCAGTAGACGGCGGAGCCTGTGAGAGATATAACGTTGGGTTACGTATTGTAACCCTTGTTATATTAGCACAGGCGGAGCCCTCTACTCAGGGCACTGTCTGTCCTATTCCGCTTGCTGAATAGAGGTGTAGGATGATAGTCACGAGGCGAGGCCTCCTTTTATACGTTGTGATGCGCGCGCATTCATGTAGGCCCGCCCAAGGCCGGCTACGTCTATAGAAGTCTCAGTGGGAGAATGCTCGCAGGGTAAGGTAGTACCCATAGAGTCCAGTAGAGGGCTCCGCCTGTGCTAATATAAGGGTTACAATACGTAACCCAACGTTTTTGGCTATTTGTGAGTAGGTACAGTACAGGTGACCTGTGACTTCTGCCTTGAGTGAAATGATTACCCATTGATACATATTTTTCAGAAAGTCATTTTGGGCTTTCGAGGGCGGAACTCAGTAGGTCACTTGTAATAACAGTTTTTTGATAATGTGATCTTAATAAAAGGAGGGAGTGTTATAGCAGAATGTTTAATACAGCGTATTTCTTGTGTCATTAAAATCACATAGTATTCCAGTATATGATGTGTGTTACTGAGTTGGGTCACACACAGGACTGAATTATCAATAGATGTATTCATTTTAAGTGAGCTGACACCGAGGGTGGAGGAAGTTCAGAGAAGGCCTCAGGTTATAAAAACAGTTAACCTTTGTTAGTTTACTACTAAGGATGTCATGAGATGATGACTTTTAAACATACAAGTGTGGCATTCAGAGGGAAAAACATGTGACGTTTTGTGTGGTATGCTGCATGATAAAATGTGTGTTCGTCAAACATACTTAGGGAAAATTTGTGTGTGTTCATTGCAGTGGCTATATATGCTGTATGATTATTGCTACTGTTGGGGGGAATTTCCGTGATTGGCTGCTGTGGCAGCAGGTGATGTACTTCCCATTATTGTTTGTTTGTTGCAACAACTAAATAATAATTACTGATCGGCTATATCTGTGTTTTATTGATTCCTCTCTGTTTCATTCTTTCCTGTTGTGAGTGCTGAATCTCCACAACACCTTCAAAGACCCACTTCACCCCCACGCTCCACTCAACACTATGCTATAAATATTGTGCATATGAAAACTGAAGTTTTTCAGTCCTTTTGAGAGGGACATGATCATGTGGCTGCTGGTCATAAACATTATGCCTCCTTTATGGGGTTGATGAATGGAGAGAAAGGTCAAAGAAAAAATTACCCACTCCACAGACTCACTCCCCCTTTCCCCCCCCAAAATTCTGGTAACAAATATCATGGATCAGCCAGACAGTTTCAGGTTACCAACATTTTAGTTTACTTGTGAAACTGGGGCAAATTATAATATGGCTGGCTTCCTTTAAAGAGGTACAATAAAAAAATACTTAGCATAAGTCTTCTCTCAAGATAGTCAAGGAATTAAATGAAGCGTTCAGTGTGTGTGCTTATTAGATGACCGTTTTCATCACCAGGTAGACAAATAGGCAGACTCGTTCATCACTGGTGGGGACGAGTCTGCCTACAGGTGGGACATCGACCATCTGGAGATCAATGGTCTCCAGACAGTGGAGATGGTTTTGGTGAACTTCTACACCACCATCATCGAGTCCATCCTCACCTCCTCCATCACCATCTGATACGCTGCACTACAGGGAAGATTGTGGCCGACCCCTCCCACCCTGGAATCAAACTTTTTGTCCCGCTCCCCTCTGGCAGGTGGCTGCACTCCATCAGGACCAAAACCTCTCACCAACAGTTTCTTCCCCTCTTCTACTGGCCTCATCAACAAGGCCCACGACCCCCACTGACCCAGATAAACATTACGCATTACAATAATGTACATCACATCATGCAAATAACATCTTGTTGCACATTTCTTCTCCACACTACCTCTTTTTAAACAGCACAGCTCTCCACTTTAAATACAGTATAGTATGTCTCATATGTAAAAATTGTGAATTTGTTATAATAGACTTTCTTTGTCTTTATATGCACCATACAAAAGCAAATTCCTCGTATGTGTAAACCTACTTGGCAATAAATCCTATTCTGATTTTGATTTTAAGAATATTGGCCTAGCTGTAAACGTGCAAATTAGGAGGTAGTTGAGTTTAGATGATGTAATAGTTAATGCATTTTGAAAGAGTGGCTCAATGAAAAATAAGTAGCCATTTGTAAAGGTATCCATTGACAGTAGCACTGGCTGCAGTAGATCGGACATTACCGTCACAGGGGTTTCCCTTACATCAGCTGAGCACTGGAACCTACCATTACCCTGCAGGGGGACACCAGAGGGATAACGGGCCCAGGAATAACATATAAACACCAAAAATGTTTACTCAACAGTAAGTATTTGAATATAGTTAA